CATCCCACACTCTTTGTTTTCCCGTGGGGAACACGGGTGTGGTGACAGGTTGGGATGTGCCGAGTGGGTGGCGAGGGCTGGATGGGAGGTGGTTGGCTGGGTGATGCCAAACGGCACATCCCGGGTCCCCTCCGTCCTCGGGGCGCTGAGATGGCGTGGGGATGCTGTGGGGCCGCGCACCCCGCATCCAGGCACCAGGATGGATGGGAGAGGTGGGAGAAGGGATACCGCGGGTGCCTCAGAGGGGAGACAGGGTGCCAGCGGAAGGGATCGGGAATGAAGACAAAGTGCCTCCCGCCCTCCGCACCGAGAATAAATATCAGGGATGACAGTGACGGAAACCCAGGCGGCGCAGTCCTGCCCTCGGGGAGCTATTGTGCGAGACCCGCTGTCACACGCCGCAGATGCCATTGTACCCGCCGCTAATTTGACGGTTTACATTGTTGGGAGAGGATTAGAGGAGCCGCCGCGTTTTGATGGCCTGCTTCTAATTTGCATCTTTAACGAAGCGGGAGCCCAGCCAGGTTCTGTTCTTTTGTGTTTACTTCTGAGGAAGTGTGTTTATTTCTGATGATTACAAATAAATCTCCTCTGCCTTTGCTCCGGCTGCCTGGAATAAAAGGCGTTCGGAGCCCGTTAACTCTGTAGCCGGGGCGAGTACCGGAACCAAAGGAGAAATCCCATTAGGAAACCCCGGCAAATGTAATTAACAATTTCTTCTCAAAGACAAGGGTGCCGGGGCGTTTGCTCTGCCCCTGTGACAGGTGCTTTTGCTTGGAAGCTTCCCAGGGCGAAGCACCACCCTGTTGCTGTTGAGGGTCTTTGCTCCCGATCCAGGTGAGCTATTTTAGCCGCTGAAAACTGGGTCAGCCAGCCAGTTTGCGACTGGTTTTGGCATCTCCATTTGTCATTTTGATGAGATGCGTTGCCTACAGGAGAGAAAAGCATTTTGGTGTTGAAGGGCTGTAGAAGTATTTAAAAGTAGAGCATTGTCGGTTTGCATAAGGGAACGGGAGGGTTTGGGGTCGATCCAAAGACGAGCATCTCTCCTGAGCCTCTTGGCTCAGCCAGGGAGGAGTGGTCCCAGTTCTGCGGGTGTGAACCGGTCACCCAGACTGCTTGGGATGCGCATCAGCATTTTGGGGTCCCCAGCATCCCATCCCTTGGGATACTTTGCACCCACGGAGAGGGGTTTGCAAGACTTGCTTTATTCCTCCAACTCTTCGAGTGCCATTTATCCCTTGTGCTGACTCTGGATATGGTATTTCCCTCACCACGGGGCAGGCATCGAGGGCAGCCCCAGCTTCACGCTGCATGTGCAACCCTAGGCTTGGCCCTCGTGCTTGGCCGAGTCAGCAGTGCAGGACAGGTCCAAGACGTGGATTGGGAAAGGTGGGGGACAACGTAGGAGAAGCGCTGTCAGTGTCATTGATGGGGCCGGGCAGGAGCCTGCCGCGGGAGCGACGCGGGGGTCCCTCCTAATAGGTCTGGGAGGAGGGAGACGGTCACTTTGTGCCACTGAACACAAAGAGTGCATCGGCGGAGTTATCTGTATTGTTGACACTAAGTGAAATAATTCCTTTGCAAACTTCAAAATTAGCATTTAAGGATGAGGAATAGGGGCAATTAGAGGGGAATCGGCACAGCGCCGCTGCCCCCAACTCCCTCCCTCATGCATCTTCTCACGCTGCCGCATTTGGGTTCATCGCCCGAGAGGCCACGCGTATCAGTGTGGGCACTGGGGGGGCCGGGGCTCGGGTGAAGCCCAGCATCCAAGGCTCCCCAGCAAGCCGCTCTGGTGGAGAGCGGTCGCGGTGGGAGGCAGCCAAAGGGCTGCAGATGGTGCAAAGTCTCTGCTTGAAGGCAGCGAGGGTCTAAGTGGGATGAGAGATGGAGGAGCAGATGGGACAGGTCGTGTTGCACAAAGAAGGGCTGTGTGGGGCAGCCGGGACAAGGCGGGTGCCGGGGCCTCGGGTTTGGGCTGACTATCAGTCCCAAGATACTCCCCCTGCTTCGCTGATGGGTTTTCTCCAGGTGAACCGCGGAGCCAGGATGGGTTTATTTTCCTCCTGACAGGCGCTTTATTGTCTTTTGTCCCTTCTGGACTCGTATGGCAGGGTTTCTTCTGGAGATGGATACTGTGCCTTCAGGAGACTGTTAATAGGGGTTTGTCTTTGTTCTTAATTAGATCCCTTCAAGGCAAAACTTCCTGGCCCGCTTTGTTATGCAGCTTTGTCAGAGCTGCTCTGCTTTATCTAAACACTTTGCAGAAGTCTCTTTACCTGTTTGCTTACTGGAGACATTATCATAATCCTGGTCAATTGGAGATAGGTAGCAAAGATGGCTCGGCAGACGAGGGAGCGCTGGCGGCTTAGCAGCTAATGGAGATGGCTTTCCGAGCCAGGTAAAGAAGCTGGAGGGGTGCTCCTCACGTCAGGGGGTCGGTCAGTATTTGCCTCTGAAGTACCAGTTCCCAGGGTGTGGGAAAACTCGCAGTGGGGAGGTGAGGCCGAGCGAGAAGGTGCCTCTGGAAATGCTGTACTTTCCGTGGCAGCTGATGGACGGTGGCTTTTCTGCTGGTGGTTGCTCTGACACATTGCTAGGAGGTGCAGGAGGGCTGGCTTTTTGAAGGAGGGTGGTTTGTCTGGTCCCTCCCTGCCTGCAGCTACAGGGGACAGCCCGGGCTCTGGTGGGAAGGATCACGATGCTAAGCAAGCAGAGCCGAAGGGACTTGGTCCCAAATTAGCTATTGAGTGGCAGTGAATGAGGCAGCTCGAGGGATGGGGAGAAGGAGCCTTTGCCTCCTTGCTCTTGGCATGACTTTGTTAGGAGAAGGAGTCTCCAAGTTGCTCCTGCCCATTCGCTCCGAGTGGTTTTGAGGGTGGTACCGGTCAGCAGGTGCTACGGGCAAGGGAGGGCGATGCTGTCCTTGCCCTTCCTTGCATGGGCATGTCTGCCCTGAGCATCCCTGTGCACTTGTGCAGGTGCGGCTCTGAGCCATAAATGCAAGCTGCAAACGCAGAATGAGTGATCCCAGTTCTCAGGGGTCCCGGACCGGCCCCAAATCTCCCCGGGAAGTGCAGCCAGTATGCACCAGCCAAAGCTGCGCAGCAGCAGTCGAACGTGCCCGGCGACGCCACAAGCTCCTCATCCCTGTCACTTCAAACCCTAGTCCTTGTGCTTCACCCCTAATGAGGAGACCCAAGAGTACCTCGCAGGGCTGTAGTCTGGATATTTATATGAGCGCAGACATGCAAGTTGTCTGTTTTACATATTGCTGCCCTGATTTTTCAGTGCATGCAATGAATAATTTACAGAAGCCGTGTGTAAGTATCTCTTTATTATTCATTATAAAGAAGTGAGACAGCAGTAATAGTCCACTAGACTGGAATCCCCCAGGGCCAAACTTAACTCGGCTGCGCTTAGCTCTCCCCCAGTTAATTTGAACGAAGGGAGGACTCGGCTTCCCGGCAAGGACGATGCTGTCTGCCGGCACGAGGGCTCCTCGGTCCAGCAGAGCAGAGCCAGTGCCGCTGCGGGCACCGGGGCGCATCCGACATCCAGGCAGGCTCCCGGCATGTCGGCAGTGCCGCGGCAGGCACGGAGGGCCATCCGTCTTTCCCAGCGTCTGTATGCGATGTGGCTGGCGGAGACGTACAGCTTCTGCAAGGGGAAAATTACTTGTTTGCGGGAGGATATATGGCTCATTCCTCTGAACCGAGTGCCCGGGGGGACCCTCAAACATGCCAAGTATCGCCCCTTCCCTCCGCCCGATTAATAATCTCGATCGAGGTGACGCTTTGCAATCCCAGCAAGGGAGGCATATAACACCCCCGAAGCCTCTGCAGGAGAGGCAGCGTGGCGGGGACGAGGACAGGGAGAGCCTGCCAGCCCGTCTCTGAATTTACAGGCATGCGGAGAGGGACTTGCACGGGTTTCTTGATTGACTGTAGGTGCCTTTTCCCTAAGATCTTAGTTGCACAAGGCTGCGTCAGTGCTGCCGCTGGCGGCACAGGCTTGTACCTAGGTTTGCTTTCCCGGTTTGCTTTCACACTGAGAGAAAGCTCCCCTGCCGTGGTCCTCGGGTGGGGAAGGCGAAGCTCCTGAGAAATGCTGGGCTCTTAATTTAGCCAAATGCTTGGTGTTTTGACTGTGCACACTGCAGTGGCAGCAGCGAAGGCCACAAGTAAATAGATCGAGAAAAATCTATCAAATGGAATGAAAAAGCTGTGTTCTCCGGGAACATTTTAATTCCCTTCCTCCCCCTGCTCCCCGCTCTGTTCTTTGCCAAGCGTAAGTCAGCGCCACGGACCGGAGCTGCCGAGCCCCCGCGTGTCTCGGAGCGGGGAGGGTGGGAGCCAGGCAGGAAATAAATAATGGGAACAACCGCCTTGTGTTTTCAAGGCACTTGTAGGATTTACAGCTGCTTATCCAAATGTTCCTTTCTCTTCCTCGCGCGCTGGCTTCACCGTCTCCAGCTATTTCTCTTCTTCCCCTCTCCCCATGCGTGTGCTGCGGCCCCTCTCCCCCGGCAGCGGGTGCGTATATCGCCCCGGGGATGGCTCGAGGGTGGTGCTGACAAGCCGAACTGTCAGCAAATTTTACAGCTTCATCCAAAATTCTCTGTGCGCAGTAAGGGCAAGGGGGGAGCGGCGGAGGTGGGCGAGCGGGGGGGGGCGCGGAAAGTCTGTGCGGCTTGTGAAGGTGAAACGTAATGGGATTTACGTCTGTGGCTCCCCAGCTCTGTATAAAAGAAAAAAGCATGGCTTTTTTCTGATGAACCTGCCATTTCTGTGAAATGTCAGGTATGGCGGGGCGTAGGATGTGGCAGCAGGGTAGCCCGGACGTGGCACACGCCCTCTCCGTGCCAGCGGTCCGGCTGTGTGTGATGGAGAGCCAGCGCCGCAGCTCTCATCCTGCTCGTGTTTCGTTTCGGGAGCTGGGATACTTGCCGTATGTTGTGCCTCCACACTTATCACCCTCTGTCTCTTCTTTTGCAGGTGTACCGTGGATGACAGGGTGACGCGGGTAGCGTGGTTGAACCGCAGCACTATTCTGTATGCCGGCAATGACAAGTGGTCTATAGACAACCGCGTGGTCATCCTCTCCAACACCAAGACCCAGTACAGCATCAAGATACACAACGTAGATGTCTACGATGAGGGCCCCTACACCTGCTCCGTGCAGACAGACAATCACCCCAAGACTTCGCGTGTCCATCTCATCGTGCAAGGTAGGTGTTAACACACTATTGCCAAACCAACCATTTGATATGGAAGGATGTCTGGATTTGTGAAGAGTTTGGAGGCCTTCCTGGTGATGGAGATGTAGGGATCAGACCAATACCTGTTGCTTTGGGGGTTGAACTGCCTGGGGACAGGGGTGTTGACAACTGCCTGCCATGATGGACTTGTATCGTCTCAGCCTCGCTGTGTTGTATGGTCGTCATGTAGGGCAGAGGACACCAGGGACCTGAAACTGGGGCTGGCGTCCTCCTTGCCTGTCCCTGCTGTGAATTTGACCCATCCCTGCTGCTCGGGACCCATGTTGCTTGATTCGCTGCGTCGGGGAGTTGATAGTAAGGTGCTTGGGTGCACGAGTCCAAAGATGCTTCGGGAGAGCAGAAAGCAAAGCGCTGCCAGGCATGGTGGAGGAGTGGGCTCCAACAGCATGAGGCTCCCTGGTTTTGGCAGAGAGGGCAGAGCACGTGAGCGTGTCGAAGTCACTGTGGGGCCACGAAGGGCTGTTGGCACAGGGCTTCATAGGCGAGCGTGTTGGCGTAGCAGATGCTGTTGGGTTGCAAAGCAGCGCTCCTGAGGCTGCTCTGACGGGGGGATCTGGGTGCCGGCAAATCAGAGCTGCCTGTGGTGCTCCGGTGGATGCCGCCTCTGGATCCTTGTGGCTTTGCACCAGCTACCGGCTTTTGTCCGGTCTCTAGATTAATTTTTCAGAGTTAGTGTTAGTTCAGGTTAGATAAAGATAATGAAAGTTTCCTAATCCTCTTAAAGAAGATTTATCCGGCTGAGTAAAAAGCTCTCAGAATACAATAAAGCATGTATAAAACCAGGACCTAATCTTTCCTTTAATTTCAAACAGCTGATGGGTATTGATTTTGCAATGAGCGAATCTGAAAAATTTCTCGGCCTCGACACATATCCGAGAAGCCCCCAGCAGAGATATGTATGTATTCATGTATCCTTCTCATTCAGAGGAGGCAGGGTTTGATTGCGGCCACCCATCCAAGCAGTTTCCCTGCCAGGTCTTGGTGGGAGCATGTCAGGGAGCCCCTTGGGAAGAGGGGAGCAGAGGACCACCGGGATCATCCCCTACGTCCCCTTTTGCGGTCCCTCTCCCCCTTTTTGAGTTGCGTGCAAGCCGTCCGTCTGCGAAGTTTAATCTGTTTATCCTGTCTGCTCTCTAATCATGCTAATCCATCCAGTCAACACCAGTGAAGTATCCAAGGGCTTTTCACCTAACGAAATCAGGCGAACTGGCAGCAGTGCTCAGTGCGCGCTCCCCTCACCCCTTTTTTGGAGTGGGACCTGCAAAGCAGGTGCTTGCTGTGCTCAGGTGGGCGAAGGCAAGGGATAGTTTGCACCTGGAGCGATGGTCGCGTGGTGAGGTGTTCCTAAATGTGCTGGGAAAAGTTTTCCTCTGGTGTGAGCAAGCCGTGTTGAATTGCTCCCGCTGCAGCAATGACTGTGGTTGTCATCTGTGTTGCATCTCTGCAGCTGCAGGGAAGCCTGAGAGGAGCTGGGGATGTATGGTTATGCAGGCTGAGCTCAAGTAGACCATGCTCAGAAGTTTCTGTATTTCTCTGTTAATGCGCTAAGCTCAAGCTGCAGGTTTTGCCTCGGTTGTTAGCCCGAGAAAATCCATCCATAGATGCCACCTTGCTGTCCCATTGATGGTGGTGTCCAGAAAAGTAAATCCTTCCTTGCTCTGTTCTCACTTCATCTCCAGTGCAGTTGCCTGGTGGCTAAATTGTGTTTTCCAGTGGCTCAGACAGAGTGGCATTGCCCACCGGCACAGCTGGTGCAGCCAAGGGCTGTTAGCCTCCCTGCTTGCATGCCAGGGAAGAGCCAGCTTTCTACAAGGGTGAATAACACGTAGCCCTTTGTTCTGTGCTGGGAGGAAGGGAGCGGTTTTCCAAGGATGCTTTCGGTCCCTGTAAGCAGAGCAGAGGGAAGGAGTGAAGCCCAGTTTCTGTTGTAGCTCTCCTTGCCTTAAATATTGGCTTAAAAATGAGGTTTGGGGTCCTCCTTCATCAAGGAGGCAGCCATCCCGGCAGCAAGGCCATGAGGACCACAGGGGATGGCCACGCACGCCCTGGCATCACACCTCGCCCGTGCCAGCTGGCCAGCGAACAGGCAGTAATGAGCAGTTAGCAACCGTGTTCAGGTCAATTAATTTATATTTGTATTTTGCAAAACTAAAAGTTGGCCGGATAGCGTATTGATTCTTTGTCCCTGTATTCAATTGGGTTTTAATTGTGCTACTGCGGGGCCTGGCCTTCCCTCCTAGCAACCCAGTGATAAATCTGCCAGGGAGTCACAGTCAACAGTAAATGTGTCTCTTAGTGTCGTTATTAATATGTCTCTTGGATTGGTTCATTGCAACAGCCGTTAACAAGGGTTTATAAGAGCGTAGATGGCAGGAAGCCAGAGGGGGTTTTTTTTGTCTCCATTTTCCTCTTTTTTTCGGGGCTACCTCGTGACGATGGGATGGATGCTTTCAGGGACATGCGCAGTGGTCGTGACAAGCTGGTGAGAGTTACGAACGTAGAGAGAACTGTCATTTAATCTCATATAAGTAGAAGATGAGCCACCACATCTTCCTCTTGCCATAAACAGCTTGAGCGCAGGATGCCACGGGGCTGGACCTCAGGTCAGCCCTCCTGCTTCCAGATATGACCCCCCGTGAAGCCCACCTCAGCTCCCGGGGAGATGCAAGCCTTCAGGGATGAGCCGGGAGACCTTACTGCATCGCGCCGCAAAATGGTTTCGGTGTAAGGAGCGCGGTAGTTAGGGCTCAGCCGTGCCTCCTTGGCGTGGGCCATTTCAGGACATGGGGTATATTTCAGTACTGAAAAGCGGAGCTCAGGATCAGTGTTTTGGTCGAGGCTGTGGCTTTTGCAGTCAGTGCGCTGGGAAAGAGCAAGCCTAGCGTCCTCCTTGTAGCAGCGGCTGTAGAGAGGAGGGCGTAGGTGCTGAAGCAGCGTCGCTTTGGGATCCAGCACAGCACCCTGTCTGGCAGAGATCTTGGCGGTGAACGTCAATACTGGCCGTCGCTCCCTAATAGTGGGCTTTGGTATTCCTCAGATGTCCTCTGTTTCTGATTTATTTACAGAACCCTCCTCTGTACTGCCTTAATCCTACTCGCCATAGATTTTTCATTAAAACCTCTCCCGGCTGTCGGCATTGTTACTGTTAGTTTCTGGTCGGCCCAATCCATTTTCCCGTCTCGGTGTCGTGCCTCTTTCCTCGCCCAGGGAGCCAGGGCGGGTTTCAAAGGACCGTGGCCTTCGTTCGCAGTAGTGAGGTTGTGGTCGTGCAGTTGGTATTCTAAATGCATGTACGGATGCTCTCCTGGAGCCTGTCCTGTGTCCCTTGTCGCATCCACCGCCTCTCAAAGCGGCACCCACGCAGCCGTATCTTCAGCAAATTGAGTCTTTATTTTTTCCTTCTTCCCAATAACAACTGGTTCTTGGAGTCTCTGAAAGGGCAACCTGTGCCAGCCCCGCTGAGCTTCCCCGACACAGACCGTGCTCCGTGCTCCCCTCGGCGCCACAGATTTCATGACGGTCGCAGTTAAGCTTGCTTTTTTTTTTTTTTTTTTGCTACCTTTGATATCCAGGCAGGAGCTGAGACTGCGATACTTATTAAAACCTTACCAGGAGGCTGCACAGTGTACGGTGAGGCAAGGCGAGTGGCTCAGCCTTCTTCGGTTGTTGTAGGAAAGACCTGATAATAGGCTCTAAACATAGAAAGTGCTTATATATTAAGTACTTAGTATTTAGATGCTGGAGAGTCTGGCATAAGGGGCATGTACGTGGTGTACAGAAGCAGATGCAGCTCAGCCTGGAGAAGGGAAAGGGCGAGAGGCAGCAATGCAGGCTGTGACCTCCAGAGCAGGCTCGCCTCCCTGCTCGGGAGGCGCATCTGCACTTGGGATACTTACCCCTTACCGGGTGGTTTGCGGTTTTTTTGTCTTCCTAAGAAACAAGGTGATAGTGAGGAAAAGAGATGGTGTGCAGCAAATGCGATGCAAAATGTCCAATACAAAATGCTGGCAGAGGTTCCCGTTTCTTCATGTTGCATGCTGGACTGGCAAGATTTGACATTTGGATTTGGGTTGAGGGTTTGCAGGAATGGTGAAGGAAGGGCCTGAGGCACATCTCTGTCTTGCCGGGTGACACGTGGTGTCCAAAGCAAAGTGTTCATCACCTGCCCGTCCTGTATGTGCCACTGGTATGGTCCCCGGGGGGTCAGCTGCCCTCCCTCCTGCTGGCAGCAGGGAGAGGGTGTCCCAGGAGGAATGCAGCTCCTCGCACTGAGGTCTTGAAAGGCTGAGGGCTCAGTCCAGGTCCTCCGTACCTGCCCGAGCTTGTCTCTTGGCATTTTTGGAACAAGTGAACAAATATTGCTGGGCGGTGGCTGAAATCTCCAGCTGGGGTGGCACGGCTGCAGGTGGAGGAGACTCCCTCGCATGTGTTTCTCCCCTCTTGGCGTTGAAGCTGCTCATAAGGTTGGGCAGCAAAGAGGCCGGTGACATTTGGATGGGTGCTGTATCCGGGCACGTCTTCCCCTTTGCCACGCCTCTGGGTCTAATCAAGTGTTTTGTCGATGACTTTGTTTGGAAGCTCAGCTCTGGCTAGCCCTCACCGCCCCGGGTAAATCATCCCGGCGGGGACGAGCGAAATGGTTAGTTGAAGGAGGAAACTCTCCCGGAGGTCGGGCTCATAGCAGTGGGGATGCAGTGCAGGGAAATAAAAAGGAAATCAAAGGGCTGTTAAGAGGAAATGGAAAAAAATCACTTAGACTGGAAAGACATCTTCCCAGCAGGGGTGAGAGCCCAAAACACATAATGTCCACGGCGTTTAAAGTAATGTTTCACGTTTCCTTCTCTGGGGTTATGTGAGCGGGTGGGGAAGGAAAGGGCCCCAACCTGTACAGAGCAGTTTATTTAGCTGGATGCTGGATGGCACAAGAGGGACAAAAAGCAACCGCAAGC